GCCCATGCTGGCTAGCGTGAAAGAGCTGAAACGGCCCAAGAGGCCGCGCTGTGCCGTCCTCGCGGAGGCGGAGGCGCACGGAAGGCAGAGTTGTTCGGAAAACAGGATTTATACGGCTTCCCTGGACCGCAGTGGCCAGTTGGGAGGGAAAACGGACGTTTCGGTAACAGGACTCCGGAGTCGTTTTCAACTTTCCCGCCTGCTAACAGTTCATTTCACTAAAAAGTAATAATAATGACTCCACCCCTGATTCATCATCCGGAGGTTTCCCGCTGGGAGACCGACGGCCACACCCTTGCCCATCACGGAGGGGCCGCCTCATCCCCGCCAGCTCCAGTTCCAAGTTTCCCTGAGAGGTTTAGGAGGTGGGAGGAGGGCTCCCCCAAGAGCACCCCAAAAGAAGAGGGGGTGAGCGGGCTCCCGGGAGCTCTCCCAGTGCCCACCTCCCCTCCCAGGGGTCTCCCCTCCTCCCTCTCCCGCACTGGTGTCCATCACTGATCACACTGCATCTAGCAAGTGTGGACCAGCCCCTTTCCCAGCCCCAGGCCTCCCCCGCAACAATGCCGGCGCGAGACTGAAAACAGGGGACAGGACAGCCGCCAGCCGTCCTGCCTGGGCACTAGTGAGTCGGTATGTAAAGTAGAACCTGAGACGCACAAAACCCACCTAGGACTCCAGTGGCCGCTGGGCACCCCCAATCACCCCCAACAGAGGCCCCGGGGGAGCCCCTCTCACCCAGCCCAGCTCCACCTACGCAGCGACAGCGCCTTTCCAAACGAATTTTAAATCTTAGCGCTTTTTAGGACATAATGGAAAAGATTTTCTTCTGCTTACGAGACTAACCCATGCTCTTCAGAGGAAGTTTGGGAAACAAAAATAACGAATCACGGTATCCTGGCTATTTTCTTCTAGTGTTTTTCTTGGCCCGTAGCATAGATTTTCTGTTCTTTTTTTTTCCCCCAAGTTTTTTCAGGTTTCAAGTTTTTTGTTTTACCCCACTAAACTTTATACAGAACATTTCTCTGTGACGTTAAAGATTCTTCCAAGATATGTTTGTTAATGGTTACAGCCCCCCGCCCACACACCCTACCCCCATGCAGGACTTTTTCTAGGGTTTGCCTCACCAAGGAGAGGGCCCCCCCAGACTGGACTGGATCTACCCATTCGATATCCCAAAATCTACAGCAACAGAGAGTGAGTACCCAAGAAACAGCAACTATGAACATAATTGATTTTTAAAAACGAACAGTGGCTCTTCCCCAAGCTGAAGGGAAGGGGTCAAGCAGGAAGAGACACAGGAAGAAGATAGAGGAGACCCCCTCCCCAGGTGGTCAGAGACAGATGCTTTGCATAAATTAAGCTTCTTGTCCCCTCCACCAAAACTGTCACCGTGGTGATGCTCTGATGTCACTGTAGCAGATAACTGGTGCACGGAGATCCCTCACATCAGTGTCAAAGGATCTTGCCCTGTAATCGCTCACCCAGTAGCACATAGGTTATAAACAAATAGGTAAACGCACTTCGTCATGGGTCAGGCTGAGAAACTTCCTGCCTAACAGGATCTGAAGAGGACTTAACTGCACCAAATTCTTCCAATCTATCAGTTCACTCTACTCGGTTCTAAGGTTCAGGTTTCCCTGAGGATTTCTCCTTAACATCCACCCTGATTCCCCAGGTGTGAGCTGAGAGAGAGGGTCACTGCGGAGGGTCCCTGGGAGGCCGAGTAGGTCATTGGCGGTGGTGGGGAGGGAGGCCATCCTGGGGCATGGCCCCTCGCCCCCACTCCTTTCGGGGACACCATGCTAACAGGAAAGTTCTGCTCTGAAAGCCTGGAAATTGGACTCAAAAACAATGTCAGAGGAATTCACAGCCAAACAACAGCACAATTAGGTCTGGGAAGCATCAGATACTCAGCAGCAGTGCTGAGAGCTGTTGGTGCTGATAGTGTCGGAAGAACCATCCCTTCGTATCTGGAGGCCTTAGCAGCAAGCAGGAGAGGTGAATTTAACTTCAACACCACCCGTCTTCTCATCCTCTCTCCATCCATACCTGCTATGGACTGGAAGCTTCTGTCACCCCCAATTCACATGCTGAAGCCCTAACCCCCAGATGACAGTATTTGGAGATGCAACCTTTGGGAGGTAGTTGGGTTCAGATGAGGTCAGAGGGTGGGGCCCATGATGGAATTAGCACCCTCATCAGAAGAGACAGCAGAGAGATTTCCCTGTCTTTCTCCGCTGTGTGAGGACAGAGAGGGTGGCTTCTGCGAGCCACCAAATGGGCCCTCCCTCACAGGGGAACCACTGGGCCGGCACCTTGACCTTGGATGTCTAGCCTCCAGAACAGTGTGGAATAAAGAGAATCACCACTGTCCCAGACCAGAGATGGCACTCCAGGACAAGTGGAAGTGGCACCTCATCATCTGCCCAAGAATAGGTTCATGGAGGAGGCCTCCCACCCCCAGGAGGGTATCAGGGCATGTCACAGGTGAGAGCTCAGCGTGGGTCACCACATGTGGCCCATTCGTGACAGGGGAAGTTACCTGCTGTCACTAAGCTTCAGTTTTCCATAAACTATGGTGATGAGAATCACTGTAACTACAGAGGAGCCATACACATTAAAACAGACAGTTCACACAAATGGCCCAGCAGGCGGGCAGCTGCAGGGTGTGTGTCAGCACCTAGTCTGGCCCCACAGAGCCTCAGTTTCCCCATCTGTAAAAATGGACATAACAAAACCTACTTCCAGGGGCTGTTAACAATAACTAGTGACTTTTTATCTTTAAAAATGTCCATTGACAGATGACTGAATAAAGAAGTTGTGCTATATTTATACAATGGAATACTACTCAGTCATAAAAAAGAATAAAATAATGCCATTTGCAGCAACATGGATGGACCAGGAGATCATCATTCTAAATGAAGCAAGCTAGAAAGAGAAAGATAAATACCATATATCACTTACATGTGGAATCTTAAAAAAAAAAAAGACACAAATGAACTTATCTACAAAACAGAAACAGACTCACAGACATAGAGAACAAACTTATGGTTACCAGGGGTTAAAGGGGGTGGGAAGGGATAAATCTGGGAGTTTGAGATTTGTAAATGTTAGCCACTATATATAAAAACAGATGAAAAAAATAGATTTCCTCTGTATAGCACAGGGAACTATATTCAGTATCTTATAATAACTTTTAATGAAAAAGAATATGAAAGCAAATATGTATATATATGCATGACTGGGACATGGTGCTATACACCAAAAACAGACACATTGTAACTGACTACACTTCAATAAAAAAAGAGAAAAAAACTTAAAAAATAAAAATAAAACCTCTACTACGGGATACATATGACAGATCACATGGCACATACCTGTTAGTTACAAAGCCTAATAAAATATTGAACCCCCCCATGAGCCCTCCGCCCCATGCAAATGCAAACTGGACACACTGGGGCCTGCACCTGTGCCCTGCCCCTCATAGGAGAAATGGCTCAGAATCTGGGGTTATTCTTTCCACTGCCTTGGAAAACTGGTGTTTTAATATGGTTGTCTGCATGCTTCAATACTACACTGCTTAGTTTTGCTTGGGCTGGCAATTCATCCTTCGTGGGTTCTGTAGGTTATAAATATCCTCTTCCAGTTGGTGCCTTGTCTTCTCTTGTTTATGGTGTCTTTTGAGAAATAGAGGTTCTTAATTTCCATAGAGTATGAACCAATCTCCCTTTGAAGATCAAGGGTGTTATAATGAGGGTCACATCTTTTCTGGGCTTGTGGGCACCTGCTGGGGTGCCCCTTCCTCCCTGTTACAGGTCGGGCAGAGACACCTCTGTGGCATCGGCTCCCTGCACTTTCTCCTTCCTGATTTCTGGAGGAATGAGAGGAGCCAAAGTGGCCCAAAGCATAATCCCTTCCCCTGTTGCTGGTCTGTGCATCCAGGGACTCCGTCTACAGGGCTGTGTCAGAGACATTGGGCCCGGGTGCTCTGAGCCACAAACCCCAGGAAAGGGCCACAGTCAGTATGTGATGGTGGCTGGGTGATATGGCAAAGGGGTGGCTCCTGGAAAGATACAGAGCAGCTCACAGCACAGTGGGGGGAAAAAGAGCAGAGGTCAAAGAGTCTGGGGTGGAATCTTGGCCATGTGTGATCTTGGGCCACAGTCTCAAACTCTCTGAGCCCTTGTTTTCCACAGTACTTGCCAGGTAGCTGAGAGGATCAAATATACATTGAGGCCCTGGGGCCCTGTGCTTTTTCAGAAGCAGCAGCTGCGTTCTCTGTGCCCTGATATTTGGTGATGGATTTTCCTGGGCAAGAGACCCCGCCAGACACGCGGGCCGCCAAAACCACTTCTGATGTTCTAGCAGTGAGATTTCACCTGCTATTCTAGGACCTCTCCATGCAAGTTATAGGTGTCGGAATGCCTATT